GTAAAGCACATTGTGTACTGGCACTGACGGTGACTTCATTGTTATGTGGTTTCTAGTATATAAACCTCTAAATGTTACGCATCAGTAACCTGTTATTCCATAAACAGCCCTGAAGAGTTTTAATGTTTGGGTTTGACTAGGCGTGATTGTGTTTGTTTGATCTCTTTCAGGAGAAATCATCAGTGCTGGGTGCTTTAGCAGAAAAAGCCAAACTAACTGAGCAGATCCTGAATGCAGTTCCAGGAATCAAGTGTAATCCTGTCCAGGGGGCCATGTACGCCTTCCCTCGAATCTTTATCCCTCCTAAGGCAGTGGAGGAAGCCAAGGCAAGTGCTCCTACTATTTGCTTTTGGTATTGTTATCCTAGCTGTCCGCTAGTTTCCAGGGCACTCTAGATTGTGAGTAAAAGGGTGTAACCAGTAGTACTAGTTCAGTTTGTCCAGTACTCTTACTTGAATGACTAAATCCAACTGTATAATTGTTACGCTGTTTAAGAATTATATAAATGTTAGCTACACTCCTATTCTGTTTATAAACTCGATAAGAATTGAGTGAATAATTGCTTGCAGAATGGTAATTTGCTACAGTTAGTAACTTTTGTTTCCACTTGAGAAGCCGCTCTTCTACTGGAATGAAGCTTCTCTGTGTTCTGTAACTCAGACAAAGTTGAATGACATCAGGAGAAAGTCAGAAATGCAAAGTCTGAGCTGTCACTGAGGATGTGTCTGTAATTGGGCAGGCTCTAGGAATGCAGCCTGACATGCTTTACTGCCTGAGGTTGCTGGAGGAGACAGGAATCTGCGTTGTTCCCGGGAGTGGCTTTGGGCAGAAAGATAGAACGTATCATTTCAGGTAAACTTTATGATCAAACAAATTCACATTTTATTTGCTATCAGGTGATATCCCCCTCCCCCATGACTTCCTGGAAGAACATGATTTGAAATCTGCCATATTTGGTCTTGAGCGCTTTTTTTTTGGTTTATTTATTTGTTTATGGCCTGAGCTGAAAAAAGCATGTGAATAATCTTTGTTGAACGTGCACATGCTTGTCACATTTTGTGGTGGTTTTAAACCAGATAAATGAAATGGCTCAGAAAACGGAGAATTATTCCCCTTACTATTCAAAATATTGTGTGATATCATTGTTTTCAGTGTCCAGTGTTTTTTTTACTTTATATGCCAGTAACTCGTTTATCTGTTAGCACTTTTTTTAAAAGTTTGGTCTGTTTGTCTTTGTTTCAGAATGACAATCCTGCCATCCATAGAAAAGCTGAATGTACTTCTTGGCAAAGTGCGAGATTTCCACATCAGGTTTCTGAAAGAGTACTCCGGTCTGGAGTGAGATGAAATCTGACCTGATTTGCAAAACATACGCTGGCGAGTCCAGCGCTACTTAACACACTAACTACTCATTTAAACTGTAAAGGTAGTGTTAAGTATTTTTTTTAATTCTAATTTTAGACAATGATTTAATGAAAATGGCTTCTGGATGAGTTTTACGGAAATATTAGCGATTTAGTCAGATATATAACACTACTCTTGAATATTTCAGTTATTTTTCACGGTTCATTCGAGAAAATTGGACACGTTGTCATTTTTCTTATGTTATATTTGTCTTTAAATCATCATATCTGCAGTAGGGTGCATGGTAAATAGACACCCTCTATCATGAGACATGAGATTCAGTTACAAACGCTATGTATTAACAACTCTCCAAACCAGGAACTAAATTGTGAAGATTGATGCGTCACTCACTTGAAAATAACTCACTTGAAACTCCTTTGTAGCACCTTATATGAACTATTCAAAACCATTTTGGCTGATGCAAATATATATATATATATATATAAATATTTTTCACTTTGGTGGCTGTGACGAACACTTGTTATGGTTCTGGTTTACAAGGAGGAACTCTTTTAATGTTTATCTTGTCCTCATCCTCCGTTGCACTCATTGCCATGCAATGTACAGAAACATTTTATCTTTCAAAATGACAAGCTTAGTCACAAGTTAAGCTTCTGTGGAAGATTGTGGCTAAAGCGATGATTTATGTGTTCTCTGCTTCTGTATGTTTCCAAGGCCAGTTGATGATGTGGAATGAAGGAAGCATGCGTGGAGAAAGTGCTGGCTTGTAAATGTTTACTGATGTATTTTATGTCCTCTGGTTTTATGCTGCAAGTTATTTTGAACTATTAAACAATGCTTTTTGAATCAGTTCTGGGGCTTGTACCATGAAGCTAGCTGAACAAACTCTGGGTTACAGGATTGGTTTCAAGTTCAGAAAACCAAACCAGTCCAATCAGGCTTTATTGATACCATGATGCTGATTATCAACTTCCTCTGTCAGCTCAGACCTTCGTCCTGAATTCATGCATAACTGTGTAAACATGTGCACATGAAATTGTGACCTCAGAAGCAAACAGCCAGTTGCACGCTGTGAAACTGAGATTCACTTTAAGCAGGAATCCGTGTGATTCACTTCTCTCTTCTGCCTAAGATTGGGAGAAAATTATGAATAAAATATTAAAGGGGTCATATGATGCGATTTCATTTTTTCCTTTCTCTTTAGAGTGTTACAAGCTCTTGGTGCATAAAGAAGATCTGTAAAGTTGCAAAGACTAAAGTCTCAAATCCAAAGAGATATTCTTTATAAAAGTTAAGAGTTAGCCACACCTACCTAAAACGGCTCGTTCGAACACGCCCCCACATACCTACCTCACTATGTGGGAAGATTTGCATAAAGCCGCCCAAATGTTCACGCAAAGAAAGAAAGCATAACTTTTATTCTCGCTGTAGTATTGTTGACGCTGCAGCCATGTCGTGAAGACGCTGTGTGCTTCGTTGTGAAAGCGAAACCACTTTGTTTGGTCTTCCAAAAGAGGACGATATCCGCTTCGCCATGCCTAGAGCTGATCTGTGCTGGTCGCTGAGGAAATACATCAACTTAGTGCTGTGGATCGCCAGCACATTTTATGGAGGACTGTTTCCTGAACCAGTAGGAGTAACGTTAGACTAAAATGCCAGCAGTTCTGACTCACGTAAGTACGTTTTCTTTTATCATTTGCCACTGATGATTCAAACGCGAGTTTTGGGCAGTGTGGATTAACGTTAGCACTTGTTGTTTGTCATTTCTCCGATCACAAATACAGACAGGGTTTTATGTTTACGCGGAGCAATGCAACGCAACGCGTAAAAAGACAGTATAAGTCATTATAATCAGTAATTATGTCCCCACTGGATGCAACAAATGCCTCGTTTGTAATGGGTTTTAATGTTTATGTCTCGTCGCTCCGGCCGGACACGGCATCAACAGTATGGTGAGGGGCGTAACATTTCCGTCTCACGCTTGAGGTATTCGGCCAATCACAACGCACTGAATAGCTGGCCAATCACAGCACACCTCGCTTTTTCAGACCGATGAGCTTTGTAAAAATCGACGCGTTTCAAAAAGGCAGGGCATAGAGGAGAAACAATAATGTACAGTATGTGGAAAATAATGTGTTTTTTTAACTTTAAACCGCATAAACACATTTCATTACACCAAATACACAAAATAATGTTCTTTTTAGCAGCATCATATGACCCCTTTAAATAAAAATATCCTCATTCAGAACTTATATTTGGACTATTGTAGCCTGGTCGGGTCGTCACCGCTGTGGAGTAACACATACCTGCGTGAATCGCCATAGACATAAACTTAGAGAAGTAGCTCCGGTTGGAATGTTCTTCCGCGGGATGTGTGCAGTTCGGTTTATTAACCGCTAGAGCGCCAAAAGTTACATAGTGCTGCTTTAAGACTTTAAACTTACACAGCAAGAATAAAAAGAGTTGTCCTCAAAAGGGGACAACTGAAAGAAAACATCTGGCTATATCATTGAAAGTGAAACGGGTTAATTTGTGTAGTCAATAAAATATATAATTCCACAGCGACTGAAACGTTAAAGCTTTATATAATTACATAAAGCATATAATTTATATTGCATATTTGTATATATTTGTTCATTTATAAACTTGTTACAAGTACAAATGTGTAATAGAGTGAGGGTATAATTATGTACTCAATATATAAATCATAAAATAATTATAATCACTGATTGACTGTTGTGCCAAAGATATCACTTTGCTCACAGCTGATTGGTCCAATTTCGGGTTGAGGTCTCAAAACAAAACCTGCCACAGAGCAGGCGAGCCATGTATCGTAAGTTATGGCGATGAACACTTGTAAAAATCAGCCCACCTTTATGGTACATAAAACCCAGGGATGACGCAAAACAAATGTAAGCTAGCCAGCAAAACTGGCTTCATGGTGCAGCCCCATTCTTTTCAGACAGGCGGTTGTATTTACAAACTAAATATTAGCCATTAAAAGATATTAGTGCCAAAGTTGACTCCATTGTAACTCTCCCCTTCTGACATCTCAACTTTCATATCAAAGCCATTAACAGTGAGTGAATATTGTTAATGCCTTTTTGCATTCTTTGAACTTAATTATCACTTCATATGAGGTGCCTTTATTCATGCCTGTGAACTTTGTCAAATGAGTTTTCCCTACTTGCATTACTAGCTTGTAATGTTTACAGACTTTTGGAAATTGGCCCAATGTTACATTGTATATAGAATTTTCAAATGAATATTAAACTTATGAAGACTGTTAAAGTGCATTACATCTGTTTTGTCTTTCTTTTTTAACAAGGATAATCACTTTATCCTTGTCTTATGTCTTGTTTGCCAAACAAAATAGATTTTTTTTATTTAGCACTGCATTCAGACGTCAGTTCAAAAAATAAAAAAATAAGTACACAAGTAAAACTATGTATTGTTAAAAACCGGTCTTTGTGGATGAAAAGCA